TCCAATAGTTTATTTTGGTTCTATAAGCGAGCTTCACAGACTTGGCCCCGAAACTTGCGGTACAGAGAATCAGATTTGAAGGTTAATATCCATTGTGGGATCCACAGCAAGTTATCATCCTTTGGAATACTGAGATAAAGTGAGACTGATAACTCAGAATAGCTAATAATATCTTTAATATGTGGAATTTTCTACGTTATTTTTCAATCGATGAACCACATAATTATCCACAAGCTCTATCAGTTTTTAAACACTTTCCTTTATAAAAATCCTCAGATACCTTTCAAAAAATGAACTTCACAAATCAAAAGAGGGTTTCGTTCCAAGGAGAATGTTACTACTCGCCTAGTTACTTCAGGATAACAGACAATATAGTGTAAATCACTTTGTCAACCCTCCCCCCATAACACACACATACAGAGCACCACCCATATTATGTTTTTTTCTTGCATTATTTAATTCCATTTAATTGATGCTCTGCTCGAAGCATCATCAACATGTCCAATTAATGTACGTACGTCTGCAATCAGATGTTGACAAGTTTATTTGGTTATCATTTTTTTCATAATGCAGATGACACAACGTCCAACAAGAAGGTAATATGTTTTTGTAACCTATAACCAACGTTCCTTAATATTTGAAATTTATTAATTCAGATTTCTGATTGGTATCTTTTTAAGAATATTTGTTGTATTTCATTAAGTTTAAACTATGTTGATGGCCCATCAATCAGTGCACACTGAACACTTCATTTGGTATTGGGAATGATATGAAATACCAAAAGATACCAGCAAGCCATTGTCTTGTTGCCGTATACGTCCACTTGAAAACCTACCCAGACATCAATACGATGATGCTCGTTCATGGATGATACTCTTTGTACAAGGTAATCTGCGTAGAAACATATTGAATAATTCATTAAAACATACTTCTTCGCGTCTGTAGATGTCAAGCCTTCAAAACTAAGTAAAGTGGATGGTCTTAAAGGTGTCAACAGCGTGCCAAAGTCACTTGTTGAACCAGCTCAGATATGTGGGTTGAATATTCACCGATTGATGTCCCTATTTCACCCATGGATTGATGTACATTTTGCTCTGTAACCTATCCCTGCACGGTCAATGTCTACAATAGACCTACCACCAGCAATCTGTCTATCTTAACCTAAGGTTGACATGTCTTGTGTTTTTTAACTTAATTACATCGGATGAAATTAGAAGCACACTACAACCTAAACAATGTAAGTAATCGTCAATTAAGAAAGTTGAAATGCGAAGACTTCGATCGATCAAAATATTACCAATAATGTGAATGCCATTTATTCAAATATACATTCGTAAACAATGTGTTAATTATTACACACTGTAATATGCTGGTGGCAGGAGCACGAGACTTTGAAGTTTCTAAGAAAATACGACGCTTCTTATAGATGCTCATGTGCATGCATTTCTCTTAGAATCTGATGTACATTTAGTTTAATTAAATAAGATGTATAAGTATAGACAGATGTCGATGATTTAATCATAGCAACAGCTCAACCTATATACTCTCAAGGTTCATACTTAAAAGGCTTAAAACCCCTCAATCTCCATATGATACTGAAATTGCACCAAGTTTTGAAAATCTAAACAGCATCTAGTTTGAACCAACGACAGACCTTAAAAACCTCTTGCGTAAAAGAAGTTAGAAACAACATGACAAGTAAAGATGCAATTGTATTGACATAGTCAGTAAGGTTTCTTTCAAAATCTATTGTCGGTGCAATGAGTGTTCTGATTTTTAATTTAGGTTTTATAATTTTTAGAATTAGAATTAGGTTTCGTAATTCGTTAACACGCATACATAATTTAAATAAATTCAATGAGTTTTACATCATGCGAGATGGCATTTTGAATTTCGTATAGTATTTAAAATTGGAAGGAACCCCATCCTATATTAGAGCGCGTCTGGGTTAACAATTAAAATAAATTCATTTCATCCAATAAATCTCAAAAATAAAATAAAAGTTATGTTTTAATTATCAATTTGCGTGTGATCAATCTATTTAGATATGTTGTATTTTACAAATCAAATGGTTATAACACTAATGGAAGTGTGAAAACATTAAAAGAAGCATGCATGGTTAATGTGTTTGACTAATTCATCATGAAATTGGTGTCACCCCTCAGTTTAAACTCTTCATAAATATACCCCGGGGTAAAACTTTTTGATATAAATCTATTATATCTAATGAAGAGTAATAAGGGCCCACTAATGGAAATGGTGATTTTATAGAATGAGTTAGATGTAGCTGCTATAAAACAAATCTTCCACCAGCATAAGTCATACACGACAGACAATGTGTGAAAAAACGATAGCAGCTCTATGAATAGATGACGTTTATAGACATAGATATGAAACATTAAAGAAAGGCAATGTGTTTGATTCAATATTCAACATTGTCTGATTTAATGGATATATTATATATAATACAAAATGATTCTAATCAAATACAAAATCAACCGCTAATTTGATTTTCGAATCTCAAAAATAAATGAAATATAAATTTTATCATAAAATCGACTAATCAACACCTTTACTGAAGATTCGCAGTGTTGCAGTTGGCATATAGGTGCAGTTGGCATATAGATATAATTAAACATCAATCACAGGATTGTCCTTGCTTACCAACAATCGGACTCCTTGAATTATCTGATTATGTCAACAGGTAGAAATATAAAGAAGCATTCCGTCCGTCCGTTGGCATGTCACGACGATAACTCAAATACCGATTGTCAGATTTGGCTCAAGTAACATAGTCTGATGCTTTATTGGAATATGACCTCTGCTGAAGAGTACACCATGAGCAATATATGGAAAATGTTACCATTTATTTTACTTAGATTCAATTTAATGTATGTAGATTTTTCAAATATTTGTTAACAATCTGGCTAGAAAAAATAAACCAAACGCTAAACGTGTAAATAAAATTTTCCATGAATTATTCCTTTATAATCCACAGACGATCTTGGGAGAAGAGCGTTATTATGAGACTAATTAAGAGTTCCCAGAATAACATTCGTAACTGAACACAAAACAATAATCTTTGCATTATACCTTCATTCAATTATTACCAAGACTTTGGTAGCTGTTATTCATAAGAGAGTGTGTTTTTGTGACGTTTCCAATATTCCAAGTGTGTGAGCAACTGTGTACATTTGAATTGTTCTTTTAGCGTGTGGTGTAATAACTTCAGTATAAATGAAATGTAAATGGTCCCGTGGGATTGGATTTTTTGGAAGTTTTTCAGTGTGATATTTGTTATCAGAATTTACCTTGCTAAACCGTTTACTATATCCAAGCAAATTTATTGCGCATTGATATTTAACGAAAGCCCAATATTAACACCATATACCAATAAAATAAAACTTAAAAAGTGTTGGATAAATGTCACGATGATACACACACGTGAAAGAGTAGTTGTCCCTAGTTTGCCCTATATTCACATTGTATTAGAAACGCTAAACGAACAAAACATTTACAATTACTAATTCTAAACACACTTGCGAATGCCATATATCCTATTATATGTTTTATCATGCAATTTCTAAGCTTGCCGTGTGTTCGAGTTCATTCTACTTAAAACTAGAAAACAGCAGCTCTGCGGAGTAGCAAACCCCAACGAGCAAATTATTTATTAATCTGTATTATGTCACAATATAATATTTATCCTTGATTTGACATTGGAGATGTATCAAAATTTTCACCAATATTAATCATTTCGGTGACTTTTATGATTTGGAAGTATAAAAGGCACAAATCATAAAGACAATACAATATTTGTAATACAATGATGCTTGATAGAACAATACATGGAAGAGATCTCTAAAATATAGCAAAATCCTGATTTGGGCAGTCATTTTGATTTTTCTGATATTCGATAATAATCGTTACTTTCGTTAGAAGTGAATCATTTCGCGAAAAATTACTTTGGGTAAAAAACTATTTACTACATCCATCTTCCCAACAAACATAAAGAAAACCAACCCACTAGTATTCGAGTTATTTTCCGGACAGACGGATGGTCGGAGGGGTTCACTATATCCCTATCGAACTTCGTTCGTTGGGATAATAAGATGCAAACACAAGACGTTACCGGTAAATTAAACACTCTATTGTTATGGAATTACATCTTATCCTAATACAATTATTTATTCCAAATTGATAAACCAGTCAATTGAAAAGCTGCTGCGAATTAATCGATATAGTAATGAACAAATGTTAATTTTTAGAATGATAACAGAGATCAGCGCGCAACAGTTGTCTGGCATGTGATTTGACTACCTGAACTTAAGGACATTAACATTTTTAACAAAATAATAGGAACTGAACGTTCTACCTCAAATCAAATACTCCATTGGCCATCATACTTTTAGTTAACTCTTTTGGTGAAATGTTTGCATGTCTTTTTCGAATGTTGCCTCGTGTTCTAAATTATATCTCCATTTTAATTGTACGCGTATGAGATGATGTTTTGTCTAAGCTAGGCAAATACAGGATTATGCTGAGGACATCAAATCAAATCAAATCGTCATTTTCTTATTTTCAGTAATATGTCGACATACTGTATGTCGTCCATTTCATTTTTGGGATATTTTAAAGATGTAATGTTACTGCCACAATATATGTATTTTGATTGCTCTTATAAAAAGGAGCTAAAGAATTGGGTTTCATTGTCATTTTATTATGGTTTATAGTGATTGCATGTTTGTTTGTTTGTTTGTATTCATCAAAGGATATCCCTTTTTGATATTTATGTACACTTTTGGTCTTTGTATATCTGCAGAATACCACTTTATCGAGCTATATCAAATAGCACTTCTCTCCTCTAAAACCTTAGTACGACTGTTTATGGATATTTACACGGGACCTCAATTTCGCTTTTTATTTCATTTCAGCAGATCATTAATCAACCAATCAGAATCATTAACCAGATCTTGACGTTGCAAGCTTGACGGAAAGAGCACTCGACAAAGCAATTCCTATTATTGTAAAATAAATACTTGATCATTTCAATTGAATTTGAATAACAATTTAAGACGCATGGGTATTGTAACGAGGCACGTGTCGCGGTGTTTCTAGTTGGGTATAAATATCACTGCCAGACCGCATTGAGGCATTGGAACTCGGAACTCGAAGGCAAAAAAGCAAATCTAACCACGCATTTGACTTTGCCAACAACTTCATTTTGTGGTTACTGTTTAATAAAGAAGATGAAAGAGTAAATTATACAGTTAACCAACATTATTAAACGAAAATTTGTCGGTGAAAGTGTTACGATATTGGAAAAAGTCAACTGACTAGATTTATGAAAGTATTAAAGCTGACACTCTGACAGCATACCGACAGCAGCTTGAAACGATTTGCGAAATCTCAAAATTGCGATAAAATGACTGCATCTGTTATAAATCAGAACCAAGAAGAACTTTATCTACCGTCCGCTGAAAATAAAGCATACAATCAGAATAGTGAAGCGATGCATGTAAGAAACACTTCAGTGAACTCTGTCGCAGGTTATTCTTCTTACTATGATATGAACAGCTACCACAATGGTGGTTATTCACACGAGCATCACCAGGAATCAAACGGTACATACGATAACACAATGACCAGTCCACCGGGAGCTGAAAACATCGCACCGGTATACAACAGCGGCTACCCTTCGCCCGAGAACTTACAAAATACAGCATATTGGGGACACAGTCAAAGTTATGGGTATCCTAATCCATTCATGCCACTTGCGACATATACGAACACATCTGATGATCGAATCAAATATGGACCCAACGGGAAGCCGAAGAGACGCAGAGTTGCAACGATTGCTCAAAGACGCGCTGCAAATATACGCGAGAGGCGACGCATGTTCAACCTAAACGAAGCATTTGACGTTTTGCGCAAACAGGTACCGACTTTTGCATACGAAAAACGTCTATCTAGAATCGAAACACTTCGTCTAGCAATCACTTATATATCATTCATGGCACAGATCGTCGACGGCAAAGAACCAAGTGACATTAAATTACATTCTAAAGGACTTGGATGGAACAGTTTGAAAAAAATCGCAGACGACGCAAATGAAGCGTCATTAAACAGTTCCATGGAAGGTGATGATGAAGATGAAAATTCGTAAGTCAAAAACAGCTTAGATCTGTGAACTATAGGGTCTGTGAACATTTGATGACATTGACCGGGTCTATATTTTTTATTTAAACTTTGTTTAATGCAGTATTTAAATGCAGCGTGCCGAACGTGCAATATGAATATGTTATGTATAAATTGTTTCCATTGCGTGAATTTAAAATAAGATTCATGAGTAATATCATATATTAGTTATATGTATTTATGTTTATTGCCAAATTGTCTTCCAATCTGCATAATAAAATGTATATATGATGCTCAAGAGAAAGTACGCGTGTTTGTCTTTTTATTTTCTCAAGGGTGAATGAGAACAAGATTTAATGACGTAGATCAACAAAGACGGCCTATTGACAATTCTGTTCATCAAGCATAGGTTGAATTGCACGTTTCATAGCAGCTTAAGTAAATCTTTTTGTATCCTCGGCGTTTTACGCACATGCTAAAACCAAAGAGAGCAATTTTATGATATTTGTAAAATACATTTTACCGGTTAATATAAAATAAAGATGTGCTGGAAATTGAGAAAATGTTATTTTATGATATATTTGGCAAATCCTATAAAAAATACCTACTTAAAACACTTTATTCGAGATATAAAAAGTGACCCAATTGGGTTAGTAATTGTGTCTGAAGTTAAAACCGACTGCGCAGACTATGAGTTCAGAAAGGCTAGGTGTGAATATCATGTGCGTGCGGTGCGGAACCAACGGTCAGTTCTGAATTGAAATTCGTCATATAAGCGAAGCTATGCTGGCTGTTTAATAATATTATTCATTATATATGAAGATGATACCTAATAAAAAGGAAATTGTAGCTGTGTTCTTCATTCATTAAACTTTCACTTTCATTTGGCCTAAATAACAATTAGTAGTGCAAGGATTTATTTGGTGAAACCCTTAATTTGTCCATTCATGATACAAGATATCATGGTGTCATCAAATAAAAAGTCCTTTATTAGCTAGTGGAGGACTTGCCACAATCCTGGAAAATATTGAAGTATTTTTATGTCACCACTTCAAGTGGTGCTATATTGTTATTAAAGTCTCCCAATTTTTGTGGACGGTATTCAGCGTTTGGAGATCGCCGTCTGTAATAAATGTCAGGAGGTGACATTTTGCATGTTAATGCCTTGATATATTTATTGAAATAAATGATATTATAGTATGTGGAATCATCCTAGTCTAATAAGTTTAACATCACATAAAATCCTCACTAAACATTTGCGGGGGTAGGGCCCGGGGGTAGTGGCCTTTTCCTTGAATGTTTGTGACGGGCAGTGCTTGTAAGTATTCCATTTTCTTGCGTTTCTTTAATTAATAATACGTTTTGAGGTTATTGAGATGGTTCATTCAACAAAAGTGCCAATAAAATACACTTAAAATATAAAAGAAATTAGAAAACACAAAAGCTGCAGCTTAAGAAAACACAAAAGTTTAAGAGAAAACCCCTACTTATAATCAATCAAAACCATATGAAGAACCCTTTAAAAGAAAAACAGGTGAAAGTCTAAAAGCCCATCATTGTAATAACATTTTAATGAAAAAATAATGTGAAATGAATTAACATCATAGCAAATATCTTCAGCCTTTCATCAATTCAATACAATAATAACCATCTCAATGTCCTTTTTACGATACAATAGAAGGCTAATGAAGTTCTAAGACTAAAAATATAAGAAAATAAAAATTCAATGCAATCGATTCAACATGTTCAAAAGTCGAATACCTGACAATATGTAGCCATCTTATCCATCTCCCGGGATCCAACATGTCTATTTGCCACGTTTTGAAAGTAAGTTATAGGGCTAGTTAAAAATTGCCAGACATGTAGCCTTTCAAAAGATGCTCAAAACTACCCCATGCATTTGAGCAATGTGACAATAATTCACTTTTAAATTTTGGATTTCATATAATCATAGCATGACTCAGTGTTAATTGACTTGTTATTAATACAGTTTGATTCATATGAATTAAAGCCGTGTTGCAAAGATTTTTAACTTTGTATGTTGTTTATACGTTAGAGACAATCTGTTCAGTGAGTATATCATCACGTCCGTACATTTTTACGATCCCAAATGTAATATCTAAGAAAGGGGTTGAGATATCTCACCAAATATGGAGGTAGTTCAAGGTCCATGTATGACAGGGGCGCAGCCAGCAATTGTAAAGGGGAGTGCGATTTTTTGGGTTTGCATTACTGCGAGCGAAGCATTCTACGCATTTCAATCTACCTTTTCCAGTATACCTTTTCAACAAATTTTACAAAATTACTTTTTCCTTTTTTGTGGCGGCGGGGGGGGGGGTGCCTACACCCATTGCACCTCCCTTGGCTACTCCAATGCATGATGCAAAAGTGTCAAAATTTAATAGAACTGAAATTCATATTGACATCCATTGCTTCAAAATTTTAGGCATGACAAGAACTGAAGGAGTTAGAAAAGTTATGACAATTTCTCATGACTTTTTTCTTTTTAGTTGGCTATTTTATTTTTTATATAGGGTTGTTTTTAAGATGTTTCTTATGTTCTATGTTAGTATCATGCTTTTTTCAGTAATTGTCCCCTATTTATTTGAGATTGTAATCGTGTCTGAAACTATGATAAAGTTTTTGTTTTTATTTTCATAATTTTAATATATTAACACATACATCATGAGGGTCGTTCAATAAATATTAGGGTGTTTTTGACTCCTTCGAGATCGGCCTTCACTGCCATGTACTAATATGTGAAGTGAAATACAATTGGACCAAGGATGTGTTTATGTGGAATCAACTCGATTTTTCGACATTAAGGACAGTTTGCATGTTGAAATGTCGGCAAAATATAATAAATTTTGTAACTTTTGTAATTTTGTACTTGTAAAGTTACAGTATTCAATTGAACACCACAGAACACAAATTGTTACAGACGCCAAACATCGTCCAGAAAAAAGTTGGAGACTTTAACTATAACCACTCTCTTTCAATACCTAAGATCATTTTTATATAACGTTCTACTAGACCAATGGTTCACTCTAGATCTTTTAATATCCTCCACCAATGCTTCAAGACAAAATAGAATAAATTGCTGTAGACATTGAAAGAGATTTGAAACAAATCTGTATTTCTAGCTGTTTTCTATCAGAAAACAATGGCTATTGGCATTGACATAGATTTAGACTAAAATACTGCTCTGGGTACTCTCATCGTTATATATGAAACCCAATGCAACTTTAAGAATGAATAAACTTAACATATTGGGTCAGTTTTTTTAACAACACACACATCACCTTCATCCCAGATCCATATCCCTTGACATGTAATATGGTATTTATAGTAAGAAGTTAAATTATGGCATAGTGTTCAGGTGCATCCATGTATTATTGAGGTCATCGTGACCCTGTAAAAGGTCAAGTCAGTACATTTCTGAAAACAAACATTCTTGTGTGCAAAATCATCATTTATAAGACCTAAAATATGAAAATATGATAAAGAATGTTGTTAAACAATTGTGGCCCTAACCTTTGACTTTTGATAGTTAGTCAAACTTCCATAATTTTGTTTTTTATTTTTATTTTCCCTGGAGTATGGAGATAACAGTCAGTGAGATAACACCATAACCTTCATTAATTAATAAGAATGTTCCACATATTCTTACATTGAATATATACCTTATTTATAGTGACACTTGGGATGACAGATCCTTTCGAAATTTGATTCCTCGATAAACATGAAAATGAGAGCATTTGTAGGTTGTTTTGTTGAATGACCCTCGTATATTCCGTGTATAAACTTTCAGATACCAGTATGTTTTTTATGAAACGTAATCTTAATATGCCTGAAACTATCCCACAAAACAATAACTCTTAATTAATTAATTTTATAGATAAAAGATGATTTAAAGATTTAAAATATTCCTCAAAGTGTTTAATATTAGCTGAAAGAATAATAAGTTAATATACCTGTAATTTAAATGCTTTCAGATAAGCCATGATTAGAATAATGCAATCGCGATTTCAATCGACATGCTCCTTCCACAAGAATGAATGCAACATTTCTGGATCGAGGAACTCTATAGTCAAAATAGAATAGGTAGCTCGAGAATGCATACGAAAGAGGAAGCAAAATAATGCATGTGTATGTAATCGTCATTTTTCATTTGTTGAAATATAACACAAAATCAAGTAAAAAACGAAACATCTTAGTCAGAAAAGTACTATCAGAAATAAACTAAAATAGAGACGACGATCCAACGCACAAAAATCTGCAACTTCTAGCCATTATTGCTAAATTATAACCTAGTGAAACAAATCGTGGAATATTGTTGACGTATAGCAAGAAGATGAATCTTATAATAAAATTGGCAGCTAATTTCAAATCATTTCATAAACTTAGCTACATGAGCTAGGGGTAGCTGTAACATTTGAACATTTAAAGCATATTAATTTGTCTTGAATACATTTATTTTTGATGTGCAGGAAATAGGAAATATTTTTATTCCATTTGTCTGTTTGTTCTTTTCTTTTGTTAATTTCAGTAAGAATTATATATTCCACATTTTTGTACTTTTCTGGATTCCGATAATGGATCATGAAATATGGAAAGATGGGAAGCTAGACTTCGTTTCTTGTACGTTAAATCATAGTTTGGGATATTGGTGGGTCGTTTTTCTTGTGTCTGGTTATGTTTTTAGTTTTCCCTAATGAGCACTAAGTACTTGTGCTCACATATTTTACAACAAAGTAGTGAACTTTTATACTGTCATGTCATATCATGTCAAGTCATGTATGTATCTTTTATTTCCCAATTCATCATTGGAGTGATTAAATATAACATTTATATATACGAGTAGAAGAACAAGACTCACGGTTCAGGGTACCCTGCGCGCAGAGTCTATTGATAAACTACGAAGCTCTCTTTTAAGAAGCGTAGTCGAACGAATGCAAAAGGTACGTTCAGGGACGGTATTCGAGGAATACAGTTCCTCCAATCAGTATAGCAGTGCTAATATTGCTCAACATTGACTGAATGATACATCAATTTATTGGCATTTCTGTATATCATCAAGTGAGTATTGTGATATAAAGCATGCATATAAAATATATGGAGAGGTTATTTAATGAGAGGTTTTTGATACAGGGTTTATCTGAGGGAAATATAATATATCTACCCGAGGAACCGTAGGGACCGAGGGTTGATATATTGTATTTACCGAGGGAAATATCATGTATCAAAAATCAAGCATTTAATAACTAATTTATCCTTTACTTAGTAGATTATGAGGATTAAGTATATGCATAGAATGTTATAGAACCCTAATGTATGCATATGATAATAACAATCAAAAGATGAATATTTTATCTCAATTTGAAGTTCTTAACATTTTTTTAAAAATTCAACTGCTTTTCATATTTAACAGTATCTGAAAATAATATCTCTCCAATAGTGCCAAAAAGCAACGGACGAAATTCCCGGGTATTGCTGATGAGCGGGTGATATATATAGGGGTTATGCACTGGGAGGTTTTAGATACAGGGAATATCCCGAGGGATATAAAATATATCTTCCCGAGGGACCGAAGAGACCGAGGGAAGATGTATTGTATATCCCAAGGGATATTC